TACTGTCTAATTTTGCTTGCTTCGCTGTTAGTCGAACAAACGAAGACTAAAGCGTGAATGACGCTCTGTATACGATTTTAACGCCCTATAAGCTCGGACACTTTTTAGCGCGGACCCGACGTCCATATAATTGTAAGTCAATGGTTTATTTCTATCGTGAAAATTATTAGGAATTATGTTTTCCCACCGTATAGTAATAAGTGCATATCCTCAGTTTTACTATCACTGTTTAACACTTTCACTGTTATGCGCAATCAATTAAAGCCATTTGAGGTTGTGTCGACACTTAAGGCGAAATTATATCGTGCTTGAATGGGCTTTGCGGTGAAAAGTAGAAGCAAAGTAATTCATCATTCAATCGTGTTTCGGGCCCCGTAGTTCAGTTCTTTTCTTTCCATTATCAATTAAAAAAAACAAGTTGAATTTGTATTTTTAACAACACACCTCGAGTGAAATTGAGTTATGTATTTAGGTAGAACACCAGACGTGTCCTTTACCCGCTCACAAAAGGTCCTGGCAATATACCAAGCCAAAGAAAATAAAAGTCTTTCAGGGTACCAACCCTAAATAAGTAACTTATAATAGCTAAAAAGAACCATGCTGCTTAACTTCATATAATGCATTTTTTTAAATATGCTAAATGGATTCATGTCACACGTACTGAAGTACTGTAGATCTTTAGCGTTTTTATTACGAAAACTAGAACCTGGTTCTCGTAAACGAAATAAAAAGATACACAATGTTTTCTATTTATTGCTATATAATATAATAGTTTCCCTATATCATTCTCCACGCTACACATAACTCACGTTGTTTGTCTCAAATAACTTACCTATTTATTTCTTCACACTATTTTTGCAAAAATCTAATAAGTGACATTTTGTGGGTTGGTTCTAGTTTGCATAACTATGTCCATTTGTGAACCGATTTCCCATTGTTTGAAGAAAGTATTCCACCTCTAAGTGCGTATTATTTTGCGCACATTATTTTGTGCGCATCCGATTCCTAATCGTTCTGAATCCGAGATTATATAAATCTAGAAAACTCGGACCAACTTCGGGTATCGCTTGTACACCTAGAGATTAAATTATGCTTGTGATATTTCGAACCCCCATTTCTCGGATTCGAAACTGGGGGTCTACTCTCGACATCCGTCCGAAACAATTACTGTCAAATAAGTAATATTCGACAAAATTAAAAGACAAGTATCCAGTATGAAGCTTCATTGGCATCACGCGTCTTTTCATTTGGTCAAGTATTGCTTATTTGGCAGTAATTGTATCGGACGGATGTCGGACGTAGATCGAGAGTAGACCCCCTGCACGGTGATTCACGCTCCATACTAAGGCGGTCATAAATACGTAACTCCGAAATTATTATTTTTTTTTTATTTTATTACGTTAAAATATGATTAGGTAAACGTAAATTAATAAAATTATACATTTTAAAAAATATTTGACAATATTTAGGTGTAAAAATGTCTCGCAGTAATTTTGTTTTTAGACGATGTATCTAAAACATTTTATACTGCGACTTTTAATGGTAAAACTGTGTAAATAATGATTATTTGTATTAACAATAACCACAAATGAATAAATTAAAACAATAAAAATACATAAAAAAGTTCATTTTACAAAATACAAACAAAACACAAATTATACCAAAATACATTAAATCTCAACAATATTAACTTTAAATACATAACAAGTCTAATACAGCTTTTGACAGTACACCTTTTTTTTTAACAGGTAACTTTCGTAGACCTGTTATGAAGGGATCTGAATGAAGAAGCAGCCTATTTACTAAATCTGTGTTGGTCACAATGCGACTCATTTTACGCGTATGATTTTTTCTAAAAGACTCGATGTATTTGTTAGTCGCTTCAGCTGCTTCTTCAGACAACTCTCCGATTGACAACAAACCGTAATCTATAACATTAGCACCATGAATTAGAACTTTGTGAACGGAAGCAGGCATGTTATACCACGGATACTCGGCAACTAACTGCCGAGCCGTCTCTAAAGCGAACTCTTCGAAGTTCGTCTTATTAATATTATATCCCGAATTTAAACATTGAAGGATGATCCAGCAACGATCTAGGAGATCCTTCTTGATCCCAGTAATTTCAGCGGAAATTTCTGAATTCGAGAAAAACCGCCTGGCTGTATTACCATCGTTTGATGTTCCGCTTCCGCCACTTTTAGGCTTATCCACTATAAGCCCTAATCTTTCTCTAAATTGAGTCTGAACATATGATTTTTTTGCAGCAACAAGCATTTTGTCATTAGCGGACCTAGCTTGCCATTTCCTAACATCTAATTTGTACGCGACATGAACAAAATATTCAAAAAAACGTATTAACGCGTGAAGAGGTGATAAACCAAATTCATATTTACTCTCATCGACTTCCTTATTTGAACATTCGTCAATTTTGTTCATTTCACTGGGCAAGGCGTTACAAATAAAACATTTTGATGAAGAAACACCACTAAGTGCATTACACACTTTACCATCTACCATAGTAAGTTGCAAACAATGAGTAATGCGATATTCGCGATCTTCTTCCTTGAAAACAGTAGGCTGCAAGTTCCTTATTTTATCTTTAAAATGAGCTTCTTCCTCAACTGACACTGCAGTCGATTCCTTCAAATATCGGAGGCGTATAGGACGACAGTATCGAGTTGATGAAGGACGAGGATTTTTCCACAAAACTACTGAATTTTCTTTGTTATCTGTTGTCAAAACAAGCTGAAGTGGCACATACGAAGTAACAAACAGGCTACTGTCTTCAAGAGTGGAGTCAGAAAAACACTGTTTATATTCTGAATGCCTTGTACTGCCATCGAAACCCCATTTCCCTATCAAAGATATCTTATCTAGAGACTCATTAGGTACACTATCCAAAACATCTTTTTGAGACTTGAGAATCCGATTGGCAGTATGATCTAATAAACTTTGAAGTTCGACTTCGGCGGATGATTCTGTAACAGTAATATCTGAAGGATAACAGTGTTTTTTAGATTCCACGACACTTTGGTAAGATGGGAAAATGGTTTTTGAAAACTTATTGTCTATAAATTTCTTTACTAATATATATTGATGTCGAGTTAACTGAGCTTCAACAATGAGCGATAAAACTTCGCTAGAATCGATTTCAGGACAAGACAAGCTATCGGACGCATTGAGCAATGACTGTACAAGAGAAGGGTCTTGGTTAGACAAACTAGCCAATCTTCTCCTTTTTGTACGTTTACTGGTGTCGTCAAAGTTAATTCTCGGACGGCCATGCGATGAAGAAGTTGATGGTTTAACTTCGTCAAAGCTCTGAGATACACGTAACTCAGTTCGCTGTACATCAATATTTTCAACGACATGCAGCCAATCTGAATATTTTTCTAAGAATTTAGATCTAGTACGATTCGACTTTGCCCAGTAGTGGGAAATTCGTTTACAAATATTCTTAATTTTAAGGCTTAAAGTCTCTAAATCAATATTTTCGATGTCGTCAGAAAGGGATGATGTTTCGGTCAAAGTGCTCAGGACGTGTTGCATTTTTTCATTTGGATTACCCACTTTAGAGTGCCAAATATCAAAAATTGTCATCCTCGATACAGAACATTTGAAAAATGTACCTAAAACAATATGAAAGCTGAACTTAAAAAAAAATTAAAAATTCAATACTATGGACATGCATACTTTGACACCCCTTTAAGCCAAGAAGAGGCAGCAAGATGCAAATGAAACTTATAGCTCTTAATAAGGACATACTCCTTATTCAAAAACCATATACCTCAGGTGCAGCTCAGCGCAGCCAAAAGTTGTAGGTCTAAAGGAAATTAAGTTATGCCAAAAATTTTCACCAAAAAACTGCCTTCAATAAAAAAATTACATAAAAAAAATATGCATAAAAAAAATAAAAAAAAATTGATAATAAAAGTACATACCATGCTCTTGGATCTCCATGCTTTCACAACACGTAAACACTTGATTTGGAATAGTGACACTCAAAAACAAAGTGATTAAGTTTCGATGACTCACACGTGGTGATAATTAGTCTCGCGATGCGCTCACTTCCGATGCACAAAAGTGAATGATAACGTGACCTAATTACATTGATATTTATAGTTTTTGGAAGCTTGTTAACTAGTTACTAACTTAGTGAGTTGATCTAACCGGGATAAGCCAATGATTTTTTTTGATTTATGGCCTATGGGGGAATCACAGTGCCCTGATACGAATCGGACGTAGTGCACAAACGCTCTAAGGATGAGAAATTAGTGGATGACTCCGGTTTATTTGACTTCACCCACTTTCCGTTAACCGATTTCAAAAAAACTTGGCGAATAGACGATGTAATTCTGCAAACTTTTGAGAGCTTTTTTTAAAACACCGTAAATTTAATTTTTTATAAGAAAAATAATTATTTTCGCTAACATGCTGTCAATTCTGACATTACACTATTCAGTGTAATGTTATTATACCATAATATTAATGACAGTTCTGTCTTGTTGCAATAATCTAAATTGACAGAATCAATACGTTATTTATCAGCCGATATTCCTCGATCCTTTTTTTTCTTTATTGGCAACGATAAGAGGACCATTCAGCACGGTTTGATGTTACTCAAATATTATTATCGCATGCATTTTTTTATCTGTTTTTTTTATAATTACAATTTTTGTATTTGATGAGTAGAGTGAATTACTCACATTGCGAAGTGTGTGTTACTTCATACCGACGGAACCTATCAGAATAAATTTAATGTTAGGTGGTTTAAATCAGTATTGTCTGAGCCAAAAAGTAGTGACGCCAAAATTTTGTATACAAATAGTATCTTCTCAATTCCGTAAGTTTTGAGTTGCGACAGTATTTAGTTTCATATGCGACGTTTGCATGCCTATGGCCGGGACACAGTGAATCTATACTAATTTTGTTTCAATCAACTTGTATACAACCAGTGTTCCTATTAAATAAATAAGTTAACTAAAAATCACACTTACCCCGCTACCATGGAAGTCAAACTTCGCGGTAACAATCTCCAAAACTTGATGCGGCTGGTTCGGCGGCTGGGACACGTTGTTAACAGCCGAATGCGACAATGGACGTACTAGCGGTGTTGTGTCCAGGTAGTGCAGTCTGTAGAACGCCAACAGTGCCGGCATGTCGGTGAAAAGTTGGTCACCAATTCGGTAGCGCGTTGTCCCGTCAGCTGAGACCACCCGGTTGATGATGTAGTGGGATACGCGGTCGTCTTCCCTGTTAGTGAAATGCCAGGAATTTAATAATTCATCGAGTTCTAATGTTCACACAAACAAATCAACGTTTCGAGTTCTTTACCGGTGCCAGACGGAGATGGTATGAGCAAGCGATTGCGCGTCGAATGTACAGGGTCAAGAGCACGTCAAGCTCGACGCTAAAGGTTTAAATTTAACTCTATGCCGCTTGCAATAAGAACGGTCCAAAGTGTCAAGCTTGATGTGCTCTTGACTGTACTTATGGCAGACCAACGGTGAGTAACTCGAGGGGAATCGGGCGGCGTGGGCTGCTTCTTACAAACACGCTTATTTTGCCGGATCGAGCGCTAAGAGTTGACTTGTGTGTGTTTTAAAATATTTTTGAATACGTTCAGCAAGTTCTTAATGGCGAACATAAACTGTTCTGTGTACGGATGCAATATAAGAAATAATATTTTAGATAAATTATTTGAGAAAAAATAAGATAAGAAATGAGTACATCAGGGGAAGTTTGAAAGTGGTGCTAGTGGCCAAAAAGATGAGGAGTAATAGGTTGGCGTGGTATGGCCATGTCATGCGGAGGGAAGAATGTCATGTTACGAGAAGATTGTTAGTATGATTGTAGATGGATATAAGGGGAGAGGAAGGCCAAAGAAAAGATGGATGTGAAAGATGACATGGATAAGAACGGTATGAGTATGGAAATTAAGGCTGATAGGGGAAAGTGGAAGAAGAATACACGTTGTGCCGACTCCATCTAGCGTGAGATAAGTACAGGAAAAAGATTTTAGATAAATTATTTGAGTTACTAAGTAGAGTAGAATTTAAAACACGGCTATGCTCATGTTTCCCATTTATTTACGATTAAATTGACCATCAAATACATTATGTACTTAAATTTAAGAATAGAAAACAGAAAACATCTAAAAATAAAGTGTCACGTAAATATTTGCCAATCTTTATTGTTAATAAATGATTACGTTTAATAATATTTTTTTTCCATTTTGTGACAACACTTGCGTATTTAGTCCCGTCTTGGTCTTTTGGCATTTGGGTCACACCACGAGTACGCGAATTTTTTAAAGTATTTTCAGGATATCATTATAGAATATATTACAGTTAATTTGAACGCAATATTTTGTAATTAAGTTTTCCATTACTTAAGGTTTACGTTACTCTATTAACTGTCATGTTTCAAAGGAATTAGACTGCGAGTGCATGTTCAACTTCTTTTTTGTTTGCCTTTATCGGCCATCACACCTGTATAAACGGCATCTAGACGGCTAGCGTGTTTTATTACGCCAATTATAATAAAATCAAGGCCACACACTGCGACACGCACCCAAAATGTGATCGATGGCCAATCTTTTGTTACCTTTATAAGGCACCGTTAGAACCAATTTGGGAAGCATAGTTTTTCTACCTTGGTGCATGTTTAATTTTGTTGAAGAACGCTGACGACGTATTTGAGATCAGGTAGCCGATGTATTTTGGGCTATATACCTTGGACAATCTTATATAGCAAATGATACATTTGAAATTTTAAGTGTAAATGAAGGCGCTACCGTTGTTCATGTATAGTATAACCTTGTCGGCAATTGTTCTAACGGTCAAAGGGTCGTTATTCCAGAACTCTACTCATTGCTCAAGTTAGGATTTGAGTATGATCAAGTATGATTTCAAGCACTGGAAATACGACCCTAAACGCCAGGACTTGAGTATAATTTCTAGTGCTTTAAATCATACTCAAGTCCTGACTTGAGCATTGAGTAGAGTTCTGGAATACGACTCTTTGACCGTTAGAACCCTAAATCTTCTTAGAGGAAGCCCGTACTCTGCTTGGAGACGTATACGAGATGATAATTATGATATGAACCGAGTGGCTTCGGCCCGATGCGTATTCGGTTAAGCGTTGAGAGCTTAGGCCGGACCATTGAAGACCAACCCGCGGCGGATCCGAACAGGCCGCCACGAGTGAGCGCGGGCATTCGCGGACAATCTGCGTTTATATATAATAATATTATACTACGTTTCAATCCATTTTAAACAAAAACTAAACAAACAAGTCACTAACCCGACCATAGACGGTTTAGTGATGGCTTAACTTTAATTGAATGAACCGAATGTTTTTTTTTCGTACAGCACTATGCAACCATAGACAAGTCATAGATGTGTAGATGAAAATTAACATCACTTTTGGACTACAATTTTTCAAATACGATTTTACGACGCTATTCAAATGAATATTGTTGAAAAAAGTGATGAGATATCAAGTAGAAATCTTCGAAATGTACGCGAAAGTGTTACTTACTCGATTTATTGAGTGATTACTTTAGAATTTTAACCAGACAGTTTTGTTTACTTTTTGTTGAAAATGGATTGGGACAGACTTTCCGCATCCGCATTCATTAATGCCGATATTCATTGCGGATGTTCGAGTCGTGTCATGACCCAAAAAGATACGCTGGAACAATTTACAAAATTTCCAGAAACAGACAGTAATCCGAAAAAGCAGCTCTGCTGTTGTTTTTAACATACAAATTTGATTGCTAAAATTCCGCAACAATTAAGCTATGCAGATTGATTATTTTAATGTTAATCATTGAAATAATATTTTATTACAAGACCAAAGAGAATAGAATGCTCTTTTATGGAGATAGATTCAGTAAGGATGTGTAAAAAAAACTTGTATCAGCAACAACCCTGCTCTGCATCACGGAAGGCGTCTTGGTGCGAGTTTATATATTCTACTAAAGCGTAGAAATAATAATAAATTAGTGGAGACTTGAAAATAAAAAATCTTAGGCTCAAATTACACTGCCGAGGCGAATTTTGGTAACCATGAACTTTATGTCAATCGTGTAACGTACAAACTAGATAAGAGCCAAAAAAGTCGCGTGTATTCCTGAGAATTCTCTTGCAGTCTCGTGAGTTCCTGCAGCTACCGTATCGTATCTAGTTTGTAAGTCATACCATTTATGTCAATTCATTATGCAATGTACAATTTCGTTATAAAAATTCGCTATCATTCCGTTGTGCGGTAATGTAAATTGAGCCTTAAACTCTGTGCTGGATTGTGAACCCTAATATGGGTCGGATAGAGTTCAGTTGTCAGCATAATGGGTACTAAACGGGATTAGTATAGGTGTATCATAAGCACGCTTTATGCTGAAGCATGTGGTGCAGATGCGTGCTGTTACATACTGATAGGTGCGCTCCTTAATAATGCTATCTACTATGTTTCCTGACGTTAAACGCGTAATCCTCTCCGTCTAATTGAGAAGAAGTCGTGTTGCTTCGGAGCGCGGCATTTTGCGCAGAGTTCTATTCTAAGTAGCATATCACTACAATTCGTAGTCTTACCTGACACAAAGAACGTAGTCTCCAGGTATAGTTCTCGAGTCCCTGACGAGGAAGACACCGCTCTCAGTCTCGTTGAGCAGAAGCCGTGTTGCTTCTGCACGCGACATGTCGCGGAAGTACCAACTGTAATACAACCACACACAATAATAAAGTCGTATTTCTTTTAATTAAAAAAACTGTTTAAATTTCAAAGGTTTAGGGAGAAAGGTTTTTGTAGTTACATACCTAAACAACGTTCCGAGTTTCTTAATTATTTGTTACCTTTTAAAGCTAATGGCTCTATAGTCAATGTTCAATAAACAAATATAAGCGCGCATTTACCTCCATCCATCTCACTTGATGGAAAGTGACGATGAGGTCGATGATGGAGTATACACATCTAAATAATGCCTATTCACTCTCGCTATCGGTTTGGCTTAATGGAATGGCTCGTCGATTGGCCCCGTGTAAACGGTCTTTATTTCTTTAAAGCAGTTGTTTTGGCGAAACTAAAGTTAACAGTGGTAGGTATTCTCAATCGTTGTAAGAATTGCTTAATAAATAAACCACACCAAGAATATCTATTTATCGGTTGTGTTTGGTCCATAACGACCTTACATAAAAACAATATGTCATTTTTCAATCCGCAAGGTTGAATGTTAATCACATTTTTTGTCCTTCTTGCAATTGGTCTGGGAGCCTTGTCAGTCTTAGTTACGAAATATACTAGACATGTGTTTTGCTTCTCTACGACCTCGTAGATCCTTAGGGGTTGTTGATTGTTCGAGACTTGAAGGAAGAAATTGATTCTTCAATCAATATTTTAATTAATTATTTGCTATTTTGCAAGATTTTACTTAAATTGGATTCATACGTCGCACTCACGAAAGAAGAAAAAACAATGGCAGTGCCTTGGGCTTCGATTACTATCAGAACCGATGTCATCAAAACTCACACATTTTTAATTTGAAACACTACAAAATCTTGATATTCATTGGTCGTAATTTCAAAATTAAAAAGAAGTAACAAATTCTGGATTGTTAATGTAACTTAAACTTGAACCCGTTAGCATGTCGTTGGCCATTAATACCTATTATTACAAGTTACGAAGTCATGATATTGTATTAAAATTTCACTCAATGTGCTGCCATCTAGCGGTTAATTTCTGAACCACGACGAATTGGGGTTATTAATTTAGTTCTCCAAACAAAAAAGCGAGCATATTGCAAGGGAATAAGCTTTACTTTCCTTTCATGTAAATAAAATATATTTCGATAAACAGAAAATTGTAAATTTTTTAAAAAAGACTATCCGATGATATTATGAAATACCACCACGAGTAATATTTTTGGTGCGGCTATCATCTTTGCACTCCAAAACAGCACAAGATGGCATTGTTCTATAATTCTAGAGAATTTGCACGAAAGAATGACACAACCATACCATGCAAAGCGAAAACGGCGGACTGAGCTCAGATAGGTCCTTCGAGGTCTATAGTTGGCACGCGTCAGACGATAACTAACCACTTCTACATTTATTGTTCTGTGGTCCCACTTCTGGTCTGGTTTTCTATATGCAACTAGTACGTATAATATATGGCGAAACGGGGTGCCTCATACTATCATATTCTAATATTTAATGTTAGTCCATGAAAATTTCTAACTGAAATAGCTTTTCTTACTGCGACAAACAAACATAATTTCAAAATATAATATACCTATCAATGTCAAAATGTTATGTTTGGCTGACGTCATATAGTCTTTAATATTTATATTATGCGTGTACATCTCTTTTGAAGGACAAATGTATGAAAAGATATTATTTAAATCAACCTTTGTATTCATTTTCAACGTTTTTTTACATTGTGGTATAAGTACTGTTACTGAAAATAAGGCGAGAGTGAATAGACATGATTTAGGTGTGCATGCTCCATCGTCGACCTTATCGTCACTTTTTCACCTGATGAAGTGAGATGGAGGTCAAATGTTCACTTATATTTTTATTAAAAAAAAATCTACTATTAAAGAATAATTGATGCAAAATAAACAATTGTAGTAGGAGGGGGTGTACAGGGTGGTAGAGATTCGCTCGGCTAGCTAGTGCCCCCTTACTACGTCCAGGAATCAAACGACGCAATTTGGTGAAGAAGACTTGGTTTATTGTACAACAGCTTACAATGGGCTTACAATACAAGGGTGTCCAATAGAAGGGATTCGTCCCGTTGGGTGCAAGCGCGGCGCTGAGTCCGAGAGTATAGGCCATAGTACGACACGCTGGCTCAATGTGGGTTGGGGACGTTACACGTTTTCCGAGGGCTGTGAACCCTCTCGACGAGCCTGGATTTGAAGGTAGGTCAAACCATTGGACTATCACGGATTTAAAAGCAAGAAGCCGAGTCGATACTTCATTATAGAGATGGGCGTTACTAATCGTATTAGTTATTGAATATATATTGTGATAATATCGAAAATCCGATATCGTGTATCTTAGAAACTATGTATCGATATTGCTCAGCATCGCGTATTTTATAGCGATGCCGTATCAAGCCGAGCGATTACCAAGTGGATACGAACACGAAAACGTATATTTTCAAAACTACATATATACCGATATTGCTTCGTATCAGATACTCACTGAGTGAATATCAACGCGAAACGTAGTTTTCGTGCATCTTCGAAATTATATACTGTATGAAGGGAAGTTAATTTTGTGATATAAATTATTGTATTCTGGCGTAACGCGTTCCCATCCAATGGTGGACGATGCGATTCAATCAAACAGCAACGTATCAGGGCGCACACAGGCTATATCCAATAATATACAATTCAGAAATCTGATTCCGAAAATCAGTAACGGCACTATCAACGCAGCGCGCATGCGGTCTGCATCCATGAATATATAGTTTCAGAAAATACATAGTTTCGATATGATATTCAGGAAAAGCTTTATTACCCATCCCTACTTCATTATGATAAGACAAATTTTCTCGACGCGAGTTTGAAGCGCACGCGTCCGCGCTCGGTGCATTGTCGTCCATCTAAATACACGGAATTAGACCCGCCGCGGTCGCGACCCGACCCGCACCAGATCTCTGTGTGTTTCACGCTTAAACAGGACTAAATAATATACAGCCGCCTATACAGAGTTATATTGAAGTCAATGTCGAGAACGTTGTTTACATCTTGTTTATGTAGAAGTGTAGTTAAAACAGCAGTTAACCTGTCTTCATCGGATCTGGGACAGTCGTAAAATTTACTATGATTTCTAGCTAGAATTTGTTTATGGCGCCTAAATACAACATTGTACAGGAATGCTAGGTAAACACGGGTATAGCAGACCACATGTTAAAAAAATCATCAGGAGCGCATGATCCGTAAACAGAAACATATGTTATAGGATAGGCAGATATTTACCTAAACTTTAAGGAAATAATACAGAGTAAATCTGAAATCCCAGAATTTATTGCATTTTGTAATTGTAAGTAAAAATATACCTAATTAATTTGTTTCGATTTTTTAATTTTAATTTTTAATAATTCCAGGATTAAAACAAAAAAGTGTTTAAAGGGAAGCTTGGAATTAATTACAAGGCAACATTTCAAAAATCTTATTTAAATTAAGTTTGCCCAGTTGTGGTTAAAAAAATAAATAATAACCTATAGTTTGAACCAAGTTCTAGGAAAAATAAAGAGCGTCGATTCTGCCAGGAGGCTGATGAAATTCCTCTGCATCTCCTTAACCAATGCTGCCCCTTGCTGGGCTTACCAGTTTACACACAGGGAAGGCACAGGCCACAACCAAAGGATGTAAGGACGTCGAAGTCAAGTCAAGTCAAGTGTCGAAGCCAAGAAAATCCTTCAGTTCTATAATCATGGTAGAATAAAAGAATTAGGGTAACTCCGTACGAAATAACAGCGCGGCTCCACTTTTATATGGCGAACGGCTATGAAGTGGAATTCCCTGCCTGCAGACTTGTTTCCAGAACTGTATAACTTGGTCCTTTTCAAAGCGAGAATGAATGGCATTATTTAGGTCCATGCTACGTAGACGACGACGTCACTTTCCATCAGGTGAGATGGAAATCAAATGCGTACTTATTTTTACAACATGTTATAACATGTTGTAAACAGTTTCAGTAGTAAATAAAATAAATAAATAAATAACGCACACACTCAACAGCCCCGCGCTAGGGAAACCCTGTGTCGCGGGTGCCATGGACACACACATAGACAACCACAAATTACACCCAAACTCACGAGAGAAATAAATGTAAGGCATACAAACATTTCTCCCGGCCCGGGAATCGAACCTCTGCGTGGCAGTCCGGCGTGGTAACCGTTTGGCCACGGAGGCAGTTAAGTAAGCAAGTAGTGATTTGGGAAAATTGATTTCCCAACAGCCAACAATGTAAAATAGCATAAACCAAGGTTAGCCCACAGTGAAAAAAAAAATTTTTACTATACCTACAAAACACAACATAAGATAAGTAAAAAACATTTTCACCTCACTAGCTCGGAAAGGATTTCTTCCTTACAGAGTGTATAACCAGAAATCAGCCAGAAATAGAGACGAAATGTCATTTAATTTGTTTCAAACTAATCTGCCATATCATTACTGTGCTCCGATTGGTCAGCCCGAATTCGAAATTTGTTTCCCTTCAAATCGACCAGTTTAACTGGAGGTTTGCTATAATGGACGAAAATTGCAAAATTACATAAAATATTTAATAATGAAATTGGATTCCGTTTGTTGTGTAATTCGATGTTTTGCCGTTTTCCCCACACCACCAAATGAAACAGCACGTCCTTGTTAGAGATATTATCTTTATTACAATAAATACATAATATTTTTGGAATATACGGAGACGTACACACAGGTCAGTTGTTGGTGCTGTACTATTTCAGTGCAAACTAGAATTGATATTTATAAGTGATGTATCACTGATGAGTTACCAGAAATGTATGGCCCTTATTTCGTCTCTATTTCTGGTTATATATTCGATGCTTTCTCATGCTCATCTGCGTGCAAAGGGTTTGTTTTTGAAATTCGAACTTGACGATGGACAAAAAAAAAATGACACGTTCAACTACGCGATTTGTCGAACGTTATTTAAGTAGTAATCCGTTGGCATGTTTTATTATTATTATTCTTGACATTAAATTGACAAAGTTAGCTGATTTTGTTGAATAAAACTGATTTGTATTATAAATAGTTCAACTGTTTTTCTTTCATCTACCATTTTCGTCACTATAGTGAGGTGAAAAGTTGCGTGTTTCGTTCGGTAGCAAAATTGTTTTGTGTTTCGTATATTTTTGTACCATTCATTTTTGTACGCTTCCGTCGCCACCAATTAAAAGAAAAATTATAATTTTCTTAGATCTCACTGTTTTTACCCAGTATGGCGAAGGCATTTTGTCTGTACTGTCATGGGTTTTGTACGTTTAGTCCGTCATTTCCTTATTATGCATAAAACCACAAAAAATGTAATTGTTGTCATCAAAGTTTTTTTTTGTTGTCATAAAATACGTTTTCATTTACCTGATATGATTAGTCAGAGTTACTTAGGCAAAGTTATTTATATGAAATAAGAAATAAAGCTAATGTTACGTCGTATCAAGAACTCAAACTTAAATTATTATTTATTAGTTAAGTTATTTTATACTAAAAGTTTTATATATGTTTCTCATTAGCGAAAATGCTTTTCATTAGTAGCAGTAGGGTTCCTTGCGAAAGAGTTCGTCCAGGAAAGTACTGCCACCTCACCTATTTCTGCCGCCAAGCAGTAATGTCAGCATTACCATGAATTTGGCCTTCAAGTTAATCCATCCAAAACACAATCGATTATTATAGGTAGCACTTGGTTCAATTCTCGTCTAAATCTAGACTCCTTACCCCCTGTGGTTTTCGACGGTGTCTGTATTCCTTATTTGGATACAGTCAGGAATTTGGGGGTAATTTTTGATAAATGTCTGACTTGGAAGCCGCAAGTTGCTGAGGTTAGCAGGAAGGTGTTTGGTGCGCATTTCTCTCTGAGAAGGCTTAAAAACTTTTTGCCGACTAAAACCAAAATTACTCTGACCCAGAACATTTTCCACCCGATACTGGACTATGCAGATGTTTGCTACCCAGATTTGTCAGTAACTCTGCTCAATAAATTGGAACGGCTCCAAAATATGTGTGTTAGGTTCATCTTCGGACTACGTAAATTTGACCATGTCTCCCAATTTCGCGCACAAATTAAATGGCTGCCCATCCATCGGCGTAGAGATCTTCATATTCTTTCACTTCTCTATTCAATTCTGTTCCATCCCTTTACGCCTTCTTATCTTAAAGATCGCTTTACTTTCCACTCTTCTACACTCTGTCGTCCCCTTCGCTCCTCTGATCAGGGAAAGGGAGCTGGTGAAATTACAGGAATATAGGACTTGTCCACTTATGTCTCAGGGTAACGGGTGTAGTGGCAATGTCCCTCAGAGCTTTGTGATTTAAAGTTCTGAGTGGCATTGCAACTGTTATGGATAGGCGTGTCACTTAGTACCAGACGCACGACATGTTCGTCCCTTCATTTTGTATCATAAAAAAATGCACTTCTGAGAATTTTTGGTACCTGTGACTCTTTAATAATTACTCCCTCAAATACCAGACGTAAAATCTTCAAAAAACAGACCTCGTATTTATTATATTTTTAAATACAATGTTACATACATCTATACCAAAAAGATTGTAATTTTAATATTCATACAATACATGAAAGGAGTCTCCGCACATGATGTACCATTCCTCACCTGTACATTAAGCAATCGGCAAGTACCTTAATCCGATGGGCAAATCCTGTCATCACGATGGCAAGCATTTACAATGTATGCCATTGACACAAGAAAAAAAATTATTTAAAGCAGGGTGTAAACGTAAATGTATAAACATTCAACAAATTGAGTAATAAATGGATATTCCTTTCTTATTTTTTACCAACCCATTTCAATATTGTGTCACTGTGTCACACAATTATGAGTCACATTCTTTTGTGCACAAATTTCAATGTTATATTTTCCTGTCATTGAATGCACTGGTTACAAGTTAGTTTCCATTGTTGGATAATAATTTAATATCTGTTGCTGTCTGAATGTTTAGTCAAACAATCATTAATTATACATGAAATTATATGTTCTGCATTTCGGTTAGGCGTAATGGCCACCAATGTTAATAGATTTTTGTTGCAGGAACAAACTGGATCCCAGAGTGACTCCAAGAGATAACTTTAAAGAAATTAACATTCTTACACTGGCATCACAGTACATTTACGAAAATGTAATTTATGTTAAGAACATATTAATATGAGAAATAAAAATAAAATTATTGTTCTTGAAATTTGATTTCGCAAAGCCACAAATTCATTTAAAAGATAGCGTATAAAGCTTAAAACACGATTCCAATTTATATTCGAAATTTGCCTTTCATGAGGTGATGTTTTAAACTTTTTTATGTTATTATACATCCTAATATATAGCCTATCACAAACTCGAATTTATTTTTTCCGAAATAATGTTTGTTCAACTTTTCATTACCCCCCAAAACCGAATTATAACGAAACTGTTGTTATTTCAGGATATGTTGGATGTTTATCGCAATGACAGGATTAGGTTCAGGAAAAGAAGAAACATTTTCCTCTCAAAATTACTTTCGAGGTTTTGAAAATTCGAGCAAACGTTACTTCTGGGAAATGTCATTTCGGACTTGTGATAGGTAACCATTATATAGCTGTAATTTTATTCTACAGCTCTCAATTAATTATTACAGCACTTGCTATGGGAGATTTTCAAGATATTTTCTCTGCCTAATTTTAGTGGCAATTTTTATTATTTAAATATTAGAGTATATTACTGTGAAATAGTAATAATATTTGAGGATACTACAATCGAATATTAAGTAATACTTCATAATAATATACTAGAAAATTTAAATAATAAAAATTGACACCAGATGGATGACAGAAATCCATGATAGTAATCCTGTTTAGCTCTTTCAGATTCTTTCTATCTATGATATTTGAAATAAATATGGTTAAATGTTAAATAATAAACAAATGTGTATTTACAAAGAACAAGCCCTAGAGTTTCTTACTCATTCTTCTTAGGAGTATCTGTCTTAGAAATAAGTAGTAGCGTTAAATCATAAGTGTAATTTGTTTACTTATGAAATAAAAATGTTTTTGAATAATAAAAATTGAATCTGTTTCATAGACCTTTCACTTGTTAAAACAACCAAGGTGATAAAATGTACACTAGATTAGAAAGTCCTGGCTTAGGTTTCCAGTTGAGCCTGTTTAAGAAATATCCACTATACTATACTTCGCGTTACCCACTAGGCAATAGCTGAAAATCAGTGCGTTGCTTTTGGGCAACACCTGCACTGAGCTATGGCCTGTTTGGCTTGCTGCAGCACTCACAACTTGCTTTTTAATTAATTGTAGATATATGTCGTTTATTGTGTATATTTATTTGATTTCATTCCTTTTTGTTATATTGTATGTTTTGTTTTGAGTTTTTTCTTTTGTCATCTTTCTATCTTTAGCTATTTGTTGTTTCATATTATTGTGTGTGCTTGTGGTAAGTCAATAAACGTATTCTATCTATCTATCTATCCAAACTAATATTATGAAAATAAGAAAGTAACTATGTCTGTTATGTTTTCAAGCCTAAACGGCTGAACCTAAGTTAATGAAAATTGTAGGACCTAGGAGAAGGACATAGGTTACTTTTTGTCACAAAAATAAATCTTAAAGGGGGTGAAATAGGTGTTAAAAGTTTCAGGGTTTCCCTAGTGCAGGGCGATGTTGAGGGTGTGTGTTATTATTATTAATGATGTAAGGCATAATATTTGCTAATCCAGAGAGCTGTTTAACAGTAATATTTTTTTTTATGATACCAAATGGGACAAACAAGTTATGCGCTTGGTGGTATGCGACTCGCCTGTCCATAACAGTTGCTGTGCCACTCGGAGCTTTAAAACACAAAGATCTAAGAGACGCTACCAATGCGCCCTTCACCTGAGACATAAGGTTAAAAGTCCCCTGTGTCTGTAATTTCACCAGCACCCTTACCGTTCAAAAGCAGTATTTGGCGGCAGAAATAAGTAAGGTGAACTTTTATTAGTAGTGTACTAATACTGTTTAATATCTCCCCTTCCAGAGTTTGTCTGGCATTCATTGCATAATAAATTCTTTCAATTATTCGCTCTTTACTGTCTGTTCTCACTTTCTCTTCCCGTAACTTGTATAATTATTAACCAAGGTGCTATGGTGTTATGATATAATTCAAAGAAAGGTTAAGAGGTTATAGTGTTAAGGTCTAATGTAAGTAATCAGTGCTTTATAACTTTTAGCTCCCATATTGATAGGTTCAACTAACTTGCTACATGTCGAAATTAAAACGCCGATTTAGTTAACTTGCCATGAAACCGCTTTAGTAATAGCATATTTAGATTCAATGGACAATAAGAATTTAACGTTTAAAAGTTAAGTGTGAAAGTTACAGTTACCTGGATCTGTCGTTTTGGTCGAACACGACCGCAATTGCAGGGTTCGCCATGCTGTAGCGCGTTGTTACCACAATTAACACTCCCAAAACTTCGCTTACCCCGACATGTTTTGCCGGAAATGAAATTAAACGCTTCCCATCACTGTTACACTATTCCCGCTTATATTCCCACAGATTAAACTCCATCAGCCAACTATATAGAGAGTCTCTATCACGACAGAACGCCAATCCCACGGCTATAATTCGAGATAATTGGAATTTGTTGACATGTATTTTTTTCTGATAGTGTCATCATCGTTCCCGACTTCACCGTACAAAGATTACAAGTTTCCGCATTCTCAGCGCATTGATTGTGCGTCACTGCTCCAGCACGCACCTTCCGGTAACAATTTTCGAGAATTTGTATCGAATTAGTCTAAAATTAACATTTAAATATAAATAATACCAGTTAGCCACACACACAAACTTTCGCTGATGACGGGGCATAGACTGGAAAATATACTTTTTTTCTATTTTTGACGCATGCATCATCACGCTTTTCAATCAAAAATTGAGATCAAATTCAAATGAGTAACTAAATGAACCCGAAAAAAATTGTATAGTGCTATCTCTTTCTAACACGGTGAGCCAGGAATAGAGTTCACAGAATTTGTGAAAAATAACGTTATTGTGAAAGAAAAATGGCGGGTTTTTATAGTTACAGTTTTATCACAAATTAATTTTTACTTTAATTATTATTACGTTTTCAGTTTCTTAAATTGTTTGTTGCTTGTTTAAGCTGATGGCTTTAGAGTCATCAGCTATAGAGCCAATGCTCAACAAATAAATAATACTAATAATAACGTTATTGTGCTATAGACTACGTTCAAAAAACGTTATAATTATTGTTGCCATGTTGGCACCCATGCTATTACACATCATCTTCCAAAATTTTAGTCTATGGTTCGTGTCCATTGTTTTTCTACAATGTTATTTTTCTGACTGTTGGCTGGTGTACGAAAAATTTGGTCTCGCTGTGTCGAGTGTAATTTAGTGCTAGTGTTCGTGTCCGATATTGTGATTTATTCACTATAGATCACGAGGATGTCGTCACCGAGCGCTGGGAAACGTCGTATGGACACAGATGTCATTAAACTGTATCCTTTCTTTGTTATCGTTATTACAAAGCAGCTACTGCGTTCGAGGGCCACCATGTAAATAAGTAGCCAAAGGGCCATCAGCTGATTGTCACGACCCCTTACAAAATCAATATGGGGTGTGTATGAGTCGAGTTTTCTTCATAAATACACGATAAAAACGTTCTAGAAAGTATATGAGGAAGTAATTTGTTTGTTGAGACCTTTGGCTATTTATCTACTCGAAGGTTGCATTCTTTGTTAGGCCCGTGGCGCTACGTATCTATATACAACGCGTAGATAAACGTACCTATGGGCACGGGACCCTTCCGTGATTGTAATATTTCGTAATTTCAAAAGTGGGCCACGGTCTTGATTGCGCATTTTTACTCTGTACGTAACGGCCTTATATTCTTCGCTTGGATTAAACTATTCTAAACATAATTAATGTTAATTGCATACACTGCTGTTACTAACGTTTAGTAACATTACAACGTATTGTTTCTTTTTTTCAAAGGACTGGCTGTATAGTCATCATTCCTTTGTCAACAAAGAGGTATTTCATAGTATGTCCATTGCTTAACTAAAAATAATAATATAATAAAATGACACCCCAGGTTCAATGTGCTTTTGGTATTTTGCCAAACAAGTATTCTATGACATATAAATAGAACAGTCTTTACATGAGATAAGCATAAGTATCTCAAAATGATTTAGTAAGTACAACAATAGCTATTATCTGTTTTACCCTATCTGTTAGATAACAGTGTAGTTATTGGAAATGTACAATTTAATTGTTATTTTCATCATAGTTTATGTGCTGTAATTTTAAAGTTCTGGCATTTAAACAAATTATCTACTACTCACATTAATGTAAAATTTCAGACTACATAATTAATCCTTATTGTTAAGCATTTAGCTAATTGGTAAACATAATAAGAAACCATCATTTTAAATTGCATCACCTAATAATAAAATAACTTAACAAAACTTTGTATACTATTTGTTGGTGGCTAATATATCTAACTTCCACTAGATATTGAAAAAGATACATTAGCTTATTTATTTTTATCACTTCTTTTTTTTTAAATCACTTCTTTTTTATTGAGGGTGACATGTGAAGTCTTGTCATTAAAAAAAAGAAAATTCTAAAAAATTACAAATAGTAAAAGAAACTACATTTTTGCTACTGGTTAATGTCTCTGGGGGTTTATGGTATCACAAACAAAAACATGATAATTAAAACTTGCCCTAACAATACTGTTTCTTTGTTAATGAAGTTGTATTCTTCTTTTCTCTCTGTGAGAATAATTTTATTGCATAATTTTGACTTTTCACTATTTCTTGTGATTGTTACCCATTTTCATGCTTATTTATTGAAATTTATATATATTTTTGTTTGTTTTCAATATAAATTGCATACACCAAGTAATGCCCCGCCGTGGCATGTAAATTCAGAAGTCTTTTTTAATGCTTATTGCACCTTGAATTCCTTGAATCTCATTCCTAGGTGTGTATAGATCAGCTATGTACCTAAATATAATGTTTAAATATCTAATTTATGCAGCCTCTGTGTCCAAGTATAATAATAAAGTAAGTGATATAGTTATTAGTTACCATAAATGATATTGAAAATTTGACTAGTTAATTACTTTTTATTATATTTACCTTAATATTATTGCTATATTGTAGTATTTTTCATAAAAAAAGTAAAAACACAATATTCAGCATGACAGTGCATAATACTAATGGCAGTCATTTGTTAAGACCCTCAAACATGCACGACAAACGCAACAATAACCCTTCTTAATTCTAAAACAAACACCTTAATGTGTAAAACAAAAACAATTACAATAAAAAATAATTTTACATTCCTGTTGTAATTACATTTCTTTTCCGCGTGTTTAACTATGTTATTTGGCGTTTTTTGTGATGATGAAAATGTTACCTACAGAAAGAGCCTTTGAAAAAAAAAACTTAATTCATATCCCCAAAGATCACCTCTATCAATTTTAGACTATGAAAATAAAAAAATCAAACCAAAATTCTATTATAAATTCTGTATTTGCGCTTTCCTCAAACGTCATCTGATAAAATTAATGTGGATTAAATCCAAAGAAATGAATAGAAAAATATATTTCATATTACCAATGTCACAATATTGCTATTTGAATGGCATAATCATAGTCACCAATAACAAAAAAATATGACATTTAATACAACGTTTCAACGAATACAGCAACTATATTAAATACAAATTTCTTTAAACGAAATTCCTCCATACTGTAGAATTCATTACACAAACGCAATTTGTAATGTCATCAACAGACGGTCCTTCCTACGCAAAATTTAACGCTTCCTTATTGTTTTATGGATTGTTTACACGTGTTTAGTGTACGTGCAGTTTAGATAAATGAGAGATTACGAAACAAACGAACAAAAAGATTTTCAAATGTCCCATACTAAAGTTAGTTGTAGGTACATACAAAAGTATTAGACTTCTTTACGAAATGCTTTAACACTGTTTTTGTTCTGTTCGTTGTGTTATGTGTACTTTAGTGCTGTTTGAAATAATGGGTTGACCAAAAAGTCCGTACCGTTTTTGCCACTAGCTGAATTTAAACAAAAAATAGAAGTTTCTTCTTTTAAAATGTAAAAAATGGCGGGATTTTGTAGTTACGATTTTTACTGAAATTCAATTTTGAGTTTCTTAGTTATTTGTTACCCGTTTAAGTTGATGGCTTTATAGTCAATGCTCATTAAGTAAATAATAATTTTAAAATGTTGCATTGTCTATGGTCATTTTAAACATAATGTTTTAGCGCGCATTTTAAGAATTGGCGGGAAAGTTTTAAGTTTTTAATTGACGAAAATCGCCCAGAATAATAATTATTGGAATCTTATACCTAAATCTCGTATTTCATCATAATAATACCAAATCTTACACATCTTATAAAGCCATAATAAACTATTGCAGTTAGATTAGGTGTTACCTCGTCCACCGTATTATTGCAGTCAGTATAATATGGTGATAACGAAGAGACTATCAAACGAAACTTAGAGCTGTATTTTATAATGTTTATGAAAGAGTAAGTGTAATATTACACGAAAGATGGTAAGAGATTATAGATCAACATTTTTAATGTTTTTTATTTACACTTTGACACCGGAAAGGCTTTTTGTCTGACTCAAAAACACGTCATGATTGAAATCAGCTCTATTACTAATTGCGTTAAGAACAGTAAAGCCCAGTGAGTGCTATAGTACTCATATGTTAATAACCTCATTACGAACAAACAAAAACGATGTCTTACTTTAATAGCGTTGACGCCAATGTGCATTATTAATACTCGAAGCGCCTGCGAATTTTCAGATCATTCTATATTTCAAATTTTTGAAAGTCATATTTACTTACATAAGTATTTTTTGTGAAAGTAGATACACCAATACTTTGTTGTTACAATTAGATACGATTATCGAATCAACGTAAAGAAATTTTCCTTCGATCAGGCAGGACATTAACTATCGATTTTTTCTGCCTAACGAGTTAGGTTTTAGATGAGTTAGGGTTAAGATTACGCCTATATAATAAGGTTCCTTGTCGCTTAACATCAGGTAATATTATTATGAAACCATAGTATATTACCTATAGTCATATAACAATAAGTTACAAGTTTGTCCTAAATAACTTTATGAAAAAAAAAAATTACGTTAAATTACAAATTGTCGTGAAATTACATTAACTTGCCAAGTTTTATTGTAATTGGTTACCGTAAAGTGCGCGAGTCCGGATTCATCCCCTTTGCCACCTTTAGAGGAGGAATATTTTTTTTAAATTTAAATGGGACCAATAATAAGGTACCCTCTTTCCAACAAAAAAGAATCATGAGATGAGAGAGTGATGAGAGACTGTAAACTGGCAACCGTTACTATTTCAATTTTAACAACTTTACAGGATGAAGAAAAAATCATTTATGTATCATCTGGTTTATTAAATAAAAATACGCAGTGTATATAGGCATATACATGTGTAATAAAAATATCTAAAAACTACGTATTTTTATTTAATAAACCAGATGCTATATAAATGACGCAAACAATTTTTTTCATCCTGTAATGTTGTCAAAAATGAGATAGTACTTATTGCCAGTTCACAGTCGAAGTAATCGCACAACGTACATACAAAAAATACAACCGAACAAGGAACCTCCTCCTTTTTTTGCAGTCGGTTACATATGAATCTCACCTTAGGGTCGTATTCCAGAACTCTACTCAATGCTCAAGTCAGAACTTGAGTTTTGCAGTGAGCACTGAAAATCATACACAAGTCCTTGCCATTAGGGTCGTATTTCCATTGCTTGTGTTTCCAGTGCAATCCTTACTTGAGCATTGAGTAGAGTTCTAGAATACGACCCTTAGTGAACTAAGTAGAAATATAGTAAGTATTCTACGACGCACAATTTTCGCACATAGAGAAATTATTACTTGTTCTCATTCGTTCCTTAGCTTAGTTGGGAGAGCAATAGCCTTACGCGAAAATGTCTCTGGTTCAACTCCAGCCCGATCGAAGGAATTTTTCTTTTGCTAATAAATAAACTTTGTATCAATTTTTTTCGCCCCATATAAAAAGACTTGGGCTCATCAAAGAGATCCAACAAAAGTTCATTAACTTTGAATGTCTATAATAGACCCCTTGTGTCGTTAACTTCATAGACACGAGATATAACGCACCCAAATTGAAAAATTAGTTCAATGTACTGGTCTAGACTCCAGACGCTATCGATTTTAACAGTCTCTTTTACATTTTACACTTACACCTCTATTGTATCTATTTATCTTTAATATTGTTTGCAAAATGATCAAAGCGTTACTGAAGTACATTTTATAGTATACAATATATTGCAATGTCTATTGTCTATGTAGTATCTTAGTTATATAAATACGACCTTCGTGGTCGAGTGGCTAGCACACCGGTTGTCATGGTGTCGTTGTCTCTGAGGTTCCGACTTCGATCCCCGGTC